CTCGTTCGGTGCAGTCTCTTTGTATTTCTGGAACGCCAGCAGAAACTGATTACAAACAAAATGAATCTCCATAAAAGAAATGGAAGTCTTCATGAATATGCTCAAACCAACAAATCTTGCAAGTTAAAAGGCTCTTTTGTTTTTATAAGATTTAAAACAAAACAAAATAAAAAGAACCTTCCATCTTGTAAGACAATCCTACAAGACCAAGAAAATAACAGCATCTTGACCTGAGAACCTGCTGATTCCAAAAAACAAGTGAGTAAACAATCTCCACTCCCTTACTCTGTGGTTATGTGTCTTTGTCTCTTTCAGGAGGGAGGGAATTGAGTATTCTGGTCTGAATATGTCAAGGACACTCTGATTAAAAGCTTTCTTTTCAAAATATGCATGGGGCCAGGACTGTGGTGTAGTGGGTAGAGCTGTCCCCCACAATGCCAGCATCCCATGTAGGGACCAGTTCGTGTCCTTGCTGCTCCACTTAGGAGCCAGCTCCCTGCTAATAGCCTGGGGAAAATAGCAGAGCACAGATCAAGTATTTAGGTCACTGCCACCCACTTAGGAGACCTGGATGAAGCTTTTGGTTAATTTCTGCCTGGCTCAGTCCTGGCCATAGCAGCAGTTTTGTAGGGAGAACCAACAAATGGATGGGAAGTAGAGCAGCCCACTGCACCAAGTCAACTTCCAAGAGCACTTTCTTCTCATACTCATTCTTTTACCTAAACAGCATGTGCCTCTATTCTACAAACGTGATCCATGGAAATGTGAGGAATGACTGGAACAAACAGAATCTGTCTTCTATTCCTTGGTTCTTACCTGGATTTTTTGTTTTGTTTTGTTTTCAAACATTTCCTGTTTTTTTTTTCTTAATAGAACAAAAATTTCATACTTGCTTGTTGAATAGCTCACAATCTATCGATCTTTTACTTCTTCTCAGGTTGTCATCACTCTTAATTTCACCCTGTGACTTTCACCTCACTGTTCCAGCAGCATCATCCTTAGCCAATCCTTCACCTCCTTTGGTGTTGATACGCTGTGAATGCCTATACAGTCAGCTCTCAGTTACTGTTAGCTCAAGCTATAAATAACCCCTTTAATTCTCCCTCATAAATCATTCCTGATGTAATTCTCTGAAATTATTCTAACTGGTCATTGTATCTCTAGTTCTAAGAAACCCAGAGCCATAAGCAAGAAGTTAGGCTCTCTATTGCTGCTCACGTGGGATGGGAATGCTGTGGTTTTTTTTTCAAGGAGTTGTTTCTAGACTCTAAACTCAATTGGGACAGAAACACAAAGATGGAAATTTCACCATCTGTCCTCATTTGTGGGCAAAGGGGAGCAAATTAATTTTTTAAATGATGAAAGAAGCAAACGGGGTGAATGAAACTAAAGACTGTTTCCTTAAATATGGTCAGTATGGTGAGGACACACTCTCCCTACAGGTTCCCATGACATCAGAAACACTTTGACTAGTTTTTTATGCTATGAACTTTAAGCAACTTTACTACTACTTCCTGCATCTTATGTAATATCAATATCAATATTTCCCTTTCCCTAACACAAAACTGATCCAGATTTCTTTGACACATATTCACTGACTTTTTTCTGGGTTCTGTCTTTGATGTTATTCTACACCTCTAAATGCCCAACAGTGTTTATTTCCTGATCATGTGAATAGGCCATCGGTTGCGGTGTCCCAACAAGGACTATCAGCAAATAGACTGGAAAAAAGGGCAAGCCAAGGTTCTTAAGCTACTGCCAAGCTGACTCCTGATAAGTCTCCATGTGGCAGAGCTGTGGCTGTCTAGCCACAGGCAACATTATTTGCTTTTGGGGGCAGAAGAAGGCCACAGACAGAAGGCCACTTCAGTTCAGTTAACAAATTGCACGAAGTCTCTCACATTGTCTTCAATAGAAGGGAGACATTAGTTCCAGGGGAGCGAGCTAAACAGTGCTGATGTGCCTGTCTGGCTTGAGGAGCAGCCTCTGCTCACACATGACAGAGCCCTCGGTTCCTCTGTGACTCAAATGCACACAAGACAGTAACTTGCAAGAGTGGCCAGCTGACATGTAAAATGCACACCTTAAAAAAACCCCTAAAACAATCTTGATATCCTAGGAATGCTAAAGGAAAATCAAGATGAAAAAATTTTAGGACTGGATCAGAAGTTCCTCATTTAAATAATTAGGTAACTAATGAAAGGGAAAAACTGCACTAACAGGAATATCAACAGTCAAAAATCTGGCCATGCTCACTGACTGGAAGCAAATGAACTAACACTGCCTTTCTGATAAGAACAGCATCATATTCTACCTGGGTGGAAGTCCATTATTCAGATGAGGAAGGCAACAGTTATGCCATTTTCCAGCCCAGGTCTGGCACTACAATGTTCTTTTTCTATTTGGGGTATAACAACTTACAATGTATTTGAAGTCTCCCAAGTAGGGGAAACATTTATGTTGATAATGTCATTCAAAACTGACTTCTCACAGAACTGTAACAGAGACAGTACATACACAGGAGGATCTAAGCATAAGAAATACACACAAGCATCATTCATCAACTGAATGCAAAATGGGAAACTCAACTTTTCCCTCTTTCTTAGGAATCTTCTTTAGTGATACTTCTGTTGACCTGGCAAAGAAAACTTATGAATATGTTTTCACATTTCCAAAGACAGTCCTACTTCTGAACGACCCTGGAGCATGCAGCCTAAGTTATAATCGGACAACCCATCAACAATCAAAAAACTGGAAAACGCTGTGTGTCTCCTATGGCAGGCACCGTTCTCAGTATAATGAGCCTGGCCTAAGGGTTACTACTCAGGAGGCAAAATGGTCAACACACAGATCATGATGCCCAATCAGTAAGAATTAAAATAGAGAGAGAGAAAGAGTGCCAGAATGGACAGAGATTAGAGCCCTGGAATGCTGCGGGCTTACTGGACACAACCGCCCAGAGAAGGCAACAGTGAAGGCCCAAGGCATTTGCAGCAGCAGGGGCCAAGGCCTGGAGTGCTCCCAGCACCCAGCTTGTGCCCGGGCAGCAAGCTGAAAACAGACAGCAGGAGCCAGACACAGCTCCCTTCCCACCGGAAGAACAAGTGTCCTGCCCCAGAACAGTGTTCTCACAAAGCAATTTGAACGTTAGAGTTCCTCTATCCAGCATCCACATTAAAGTCGACTCTAGGCTTACATCCTTACTTATTTCTGAAACACAAAACACTTGAGGAAGGCCAATATCTTTTGTTCATGTGTGCTCAAAAACGAAATCAATGTATTTGAATACATGAATAGGGACTGCTTACAAAATCCTCTAATAATGCAAGATATTCACTCAAATTTTAAAAATGTTATTCTCTGATCACTAGATTTGCTTCTAAATCAATCACTCGCACCAAAAGGTGTAGCAAGTGATTTGATTTGCTGCATCAAAAACTGAAAAATACAGGCTTATGTTGCAGTACACAGAGGTAAGGCAACAACCTGTAATGCTGACTTCCCATCTGACTGCTGGATCAAGCCTTGGCTGTTACATTTCCTACACAGCCCCCTAGCAATGCCCATGGGAAAGCAGCAGAAGAGGGCCCAAGTGTCTGGATTGCTACCACCCATGTGGAGACTAGTTGGAGTTCCAGGTTCCAGGCTCTGGCCTAGCCCAGACCTGCTTACTGTGGCCATTTGGGGAGTGAACAAAAAGATGGAAGCTCTCTCTAACACCGGCAATTTCCTGAGCAGTTTTGCTCTTAGCAAACAGTAATGGAAAAAAAAATTTACTAATGTATACCAGAATCTTCTGGGGTGTTTATAAATACAGATGTTAAGGTGTATCCAGGTGGGCAAGCTATCTGTGGGTTACCATGGCAGGCTGAGAACTTGGGGTTTTTTTTTTTTTAAGCTATCTTGGTGATTCTGACAGCTGAGAATCATACTGATTCTGTGAAACACCACAGAATGATAGATGTAACACTAAACACTGGTGAAAAAAAAAAACATTCTTGCCTCCAGAACTCAACAGCTGTCAAGGTCCCTTCCTGTGCCCAAATTTAAAACATTCCTGAAGTCTCCATGGTTAACGTTTCTCATCCACCATGTGCACGTATACCCTTCTATGGTGTTAGGTTGGGGAAATTTTATTTCCATGCAGAAACCTTATAAAACTAACTCCATCTCGCTCGGCTATGTACATTCATAGACGTAGGAGAATGGTTAAGTCTCAGATAAGTACTCAACTGTACTTCTGCAATTCGAATGTTTAAAAGAATTTGGAGAAGCTGATGTCAAAAGACCTATTTCAACAACTGAACTTGCACCGTATGTGTTTTTGAATGAGTATAAATAAATCCTCATTTATCATTTTCTGCTGAGTTAACACCTATGTAAGGCTAGAAACTGCATTTCCAACAGAGTTCCCATTCACCACCTCCCAACAACAGCTTCCTGACTGTCTGGAAAACCCTGCAAGCATATTCTCTAACACTTACCCCAGGGCTGGGAGGTTTGTTTTTTGTTTTGTTTTATTTTGTTTTTGCAGAAAGGAAGCAAGACAAGTGATCACTTTTCCATCAGAGAACAGGTTTATCCACACCAGAGGAAATAGGGTGAGAAGGAAGGACAGTCATGATATAAAATTGTTTGAAAAAAGAAATGAAATCAAGAATTAAAAATAGAATTACATTTTCTACTTGGCAGTACACAAACAACACTAAGTGCACTTCATAAATTTTACTATTGTTGCTCTAAGTGATATTACCATAAATCACATTAGTAGCTCACTTGGCAATTTTAAAAGCAAAAGGGATGCAGTGTCAATAAGTTTAAACAGCTGTGTTATCTCTAAAGAGAGCGGAAGAGGAATGATCACAAGCTTTTACTAGGTCTCACAGCCCAGCTCTGATGGCCTTAGTGCAGCTCTCCTCCCTCCGGCTGCAGCACAGGGAGCCCCACAACCAGCAGGCTATTGGAAAAGCACCCCCTGGGGCCTCCCTGATGCTCCGTACCTGCTGGGGCAGGGGTGGTGGCTGCCTGCCCCTTTTTTCATCACGGACAGGGAATAGGGACTTGAGCAGCTTTGGCATCTGTGGCACCAAGGACTTCACTGGATTCAGATAGGAGGCAGCGAAGCTCCCAAGTCCTGTCAGTACACGGGAAAAACAGACATATATCAACAATGACACAGATGTTTTTCCTCTAAATTCCCCAAGTATTATTTGTAAACATACTTAGCAATATGCATTTCTTCAAAGTGTCTTTAAGAAAATCATTATTTGGGACTGGCATTGTGGTGCACCACGTTAAGCTGCCACCTGTAATGCCGGGATCCCATATCAGAGTACCAGGTTCACTCTCAGCTACCCCATCCCTGATCCAGCTTCCTGCTGATGCAGCTGGGAATGCAGAAGACAGTTCACGTGCTTAGACCCCTGCACCCACGTGAGATGCCTGGAAGTAATATCTGGCTCCTGGTGTTTGCCTGGCTCAGCCCTGGCTCTTGCAGCCATCTGGGCAGTAGACCAGTGGATGAAAGTCTCTCTCTCCCTGCTCCTCTCATTTCTCACTCACTCACCCTGCCTGGCAACCAAATAAATACATCTTCTAAAATATACTAAATATAGTGTTAATGTACTTATCCTGAAACACGGTGTTCCTTTTATTACTTACTGGCAGTAGCTAATGACTCTAAAATGCTGTAATATGAAGTGCTCCTATCAGAACCTGGAGGGTGATCCACCTGCCTCCTTGTCCCCAAGTGCTGCCAAGCACTGACTTCTGCACGGGAACAATTTTAAGCCACACAGCCAATGACACGCATGTGGAGCTGTCCATCTAGACTTTGGGCTCTCGGAAGTCAAAGATTACGTCCTATTCAACTCCAGTATTCCAGAGCTACTTACTTAAGGTAGATGATTAAAGTGATCTTTTGGGAAAAGGGTGGCATTTGCAATGTTTTTATAAAACAGGGAAAGAGGTCCTGAATGAATTATATTCTTACTTACTAGCTGTTAATCACCAAAGGCCAGGATCAGAGGTGCAGACAATAATTATGATAAAGTGTGTCCCTTTATTAGCTTGCCCAAAGACTTAATCCAAGTCACAGATTAAAAATAATAATAATAATAATAATAATAATAATAAAAGTGTATCTGGACCCGGCACAGTAGCCTAGTGGCTAAATCCACACCTTGCAACTGTCATGATCCTATATGGGCACTACTCCATATCCTGGCTGCTCCACTTCCCATCCAGCTCCCTGCTGCTTGTGGCCTGGGAAAGCAGCTGAGGACGGTCCAAAGCTTTGGGACCCTGCACTTGTATGGGAGACCCAGAAGAAACTCCAGGCTCCTGGCTTCGGATCAACTCAACTTTGACCATTGTGGCCACTTGCAGAGTGAACCAGCGGACAGAAGATCTTTCTCTCTGCCTCTCCTTCTCTCTGTAAATCTACCTTTCCAATAAAAATATATATATAAATAAATCTCAAAAAAAAAAAAAAACGAAAGAAAGAAACACTGTATCCACATTAACTCTTTAAAAGAACAGGCAAAAAGAAGCTCAGGAATGTGTATGTTCTGTCCTCCACACCTCCACTCCACATGGCCCTGGGAAGGTCTTCAAGAACTTCCTGGTCAGACAGTTGATAAATGAACACTGGGAGGCTTTCACATTTTACATATAATGGTTAAATGCTAACTCTGGGTAGACTGGCAAAGTTAAGGAACTACACAGCAATCATAAAAGCAAGCACTAAAAAAAAATAGAGCAAAGAGGCTAATGTGAATATACTGTAACTGAGATCAGAAGTTATTCTTAAGAAAGCAAGAATAGGAAAGAGGGAAATCAAAGAGGGTGAGGAACATACAATAACTCAGGAAGAATAAAGGGCCATCATCTCAATGCTGACGAAAAAGGACATTCTAACATTCTAGAATGAAAATGACCCTTAATAAAAAGCTAGACAAAGGTTTCAGGTGTCATAAAACAAGACACAATTAGGTATCGTGCGTCTTCAAGCTCCCTTCTGTATGCACATATTCTCAGTTTAGCCTGAATCTGATCTAGGCCCTAGATCTAATTGCTCATTTATAAGAAGCACAGGGAGGGACTGGGAAGGTGAAAAAAAAAAGAAACAAGGAATCAACAACCTCATGGGACTAAGAATGGACAAGGGTTTGCTTTATGCAAGATCTTGCCTTATAGGACAACAACATACAAGAAGGAACACAAGATAGGCTTGCTGTACCAAAATCAGTATAATTCAACATGTTAGGACAAGAGGGAGCAAAGCCCAGATGGACTTGAACTAATAGAAAAGTGGCTACCTGGCAGAACTTCTAACTTAAGCCCTTCCTGAAAGATGTCTGAATTTCATGACAGGGAATGACAAATGAAAAGGTAATTTACCTGGATCTGGAGAATGGTTAGTTGGGGGACACACAGACAGGGCTGGAGGGACTGAAGCTATTCCTCTGGAAACCGTTGTTTGGGACACATCCTGTTGACTTTCCCACCGGCCCTAGCAAACATAAAAACCATTAATTTTGTTTCAAAATAATCAATCAGCAAAAAGCTTAAAAATATTCAAGAAAAAATTTTTACATTACTAAAGCTTTATTCTCTTCCTAGGACATGATAAATTTGATTACATTGAGTGCTTTTCTTCTTATACTTAAACGCCCTAATGATACCACCACCACACACTTGATCCTTCCTTCCACTTTGTAAGCTATTGCCTCCCAGTAAATCCCATTCTGAGGTTTTTCCTGCTACCTTGCTATCCTTCCCCACAAAAGGATAGACATCTGAGGACAGTTGTTTTGAAATCAATTCTCCCCTCAGCTCTGTTTGAGGCTATTTTTGCTCCTCTGCCTCTCCTCAGCTTCCCCACTGACACTCAGGCTCCAAGTTAACACTGCAGAGGAGGACGCACACACTCCACACAAGAGTGGGTTCAGTCTGGGCATTGCACCCATCTGCACAGCATACGGCATTGAGAATAGTGAGAATGTCCAGGCTGTCCCTAGTGTTCAATTTTCATTGGCACTGAAGGTAAATTCCAGTTAAAACTGAGTCAAAGAATCCTAAGGTCTTGATTAGGGAGGCCTGGGAACAAACCAGTTTTATTACAATCTCAATTTATGGAGGATGGATTAAAAGTGCCTTGGAAAGTTTGAGATGGCCTAATCCCAGCAGCGAGGTCATCAAGGCACTGCCAACATCAGTCCTACCTGGAAACAAGCCTCAAGCACACATTTCTTGAACAAAAATTAGGAAGAGATGAGATGCAAATCTTTGAAATGCTTTAAGTTCCCTCTGATCCTCTGATAATCACTGAGGGTTTCCACTGCAGTTTAACAACGGCAGCATGTCCTCAACCAATGACCTTAACAGTTAACTCTTGTTTTCTTTACTAATTGCCTGGAAAGCAGGATGGAAACAGCAAGTTCCCCACAGCTCCTGAAGATGAATTGAGCTGGAAGGGCCTCTTGGGTTTCAGATATGTATTGGAAACCTATCTGCTTTTAGCAGCAACCAAAGCGCTGATCATAAAATCAATCAGCCCTAAGTGATCTGGATCCTGTATGCCTCAGAGAATGCCACTTTTCCCTAGGAAGTCTCTCGGCACTTGACATCATCTTAAAAAATGGTTTGCTGCTCTGCCTTCACTAGGAAGCACAGAAGACAAAACAGACATAGGCACGTGATCGGGTAGAACATGAATTCTGCAACCCTCCACAGTGGGAGCATTTGTGTTACTATGGATTTCATGCTGATTTACATACTTGAATGCTTTGTTAATGTTTTCTGCATTTCAATTTAATTATGTCTGGGAAGCGGCAGCTTTGTGCACCCTGGATATCACAATCAGGTGACTGAAAACTAAAGTCCATAATCTTCAAAGCGTCTCGGAGGAAGATACAACTCAGGAGTTTGCTGTGCCAACCTCACACAAGGTAATAACAAGACAACCTCATTTGAGAATACACTTATTTTTGTATTTCAGATCTCCCTTATTTGATGGCTGACATACTGTACTCTGTCCTTTAGGACAATCACCTAGGCCATGTGATACTATACTAAGTGACCCACTGACAAATACAGTATGTGTCACTCTTCCCTAAGGCACACTCAAAAGGCTCTGCCAGCCACCTGCAGAATACTTCTCAGCATCACCACCAAATCAAGATGGAGGCAGACACTGCCATATTCCAACTGATAACAGCTAAAAGGACGAAGCAATACTCAGAAATTGCCTGAGCCATCAGATAATGTCAACGGGGACATGCAACACTTCCCACGCAACCAATGCCACAGTCCCAGCAACCACAAGCACTCTCACGCTCCCCATTCCTGGGCCTCACTGTCCCTCAGCCAGAGTTTCAAAGCACTCTGGAATAGAACAGGCTCTGTTTCCGAGGATGATCTAAGGGCTAACACAAACTTCTCCACTGACTGGTGCCCACAGACCTCAAATTCACTCACTCACCTAAAACCCTTCACTCATTCTTTTTCTCCAGCACTACCTGCTGTCCAGGGTCTGGATACACATACTGTGCTCCAGGATAGGGCCAAGTAACTGCTTAGCTGATCTCAGGCCATCCTCCCTGCACTAACATTTCGGGGAAAAAAATGAAGCAACCCAGTAGCTTAAAAAGAGATGAACTCAGGAGCATGAATATCCAGACAGTGGAATGCTTGGATCTCTTCAATAGCCAAGATCCAGGAGGGCAGGGTTGGGTTACTTCCACCACAGCAATTCACACCCTACACCAACTGGCATCTCAAAGGATCAATCTCTGACAAAACATTCTGCACATCTCCCAAACCTCACCATCAGTCAGGAGGAGGAAAGGAGACCCCAGACCGTCTGAATCTCCAAATGAGCCTCCAAATGAACAGGGATGAGCTGTCCCGTCAGGAGGAGTCCAGAGAAATTGGAGTTGACGCAGCCATCATCTGCTGCACAGACCATGTGCAGAGGCAAGAGCACAGGAGGCTCTTGGCCAGCTTGAGGATGTGATGTGGTCTCCACGGGCACCTAGTTTTCCTGTCCCTGCTCCTCTGCCAAGGACAAATTCTTAGGGTTTTCCGTAAAGGGGTCTGGTTTTGATCAGCAAAGTGACAAAGAGGTAAATAAAGAAAAGTGCCAGTGACATTTAAGGTCCAAAGGTAGCTCCTAATGCATCTAAAGAAGAAGTGACTCATGGTTGGCATCAGCCTAGAGCAGTTCTACACTCAATAATTAGAGGTTTCAGGAAGGTGATGTAGCCAAAATACACAATTTAGCTTTGTTAACAGGATACTCATTCAAGCTATTGACTAATTTCAATTTCATGAAAAACTCCCATCAGAAAATGACAAATGCCCTACTTTACTAACTTATTTATTAAAAAAAAATACACTTTTTCCAAGATGGTTTGGCAGTAACAATATTGCTGTTGACACATTCCTTATGCTGAGAAAGATCTTAATACACAGGCAATGTTGAGGTGGAAAGACCAATACCACCCTGGAATTAATTCTACCACTAACTAACAGTAAGTAGGTAGCCATAAAAAGTCTGCTCGATTTTTATTATATCTATTAAAAAAAAAAAGCCCTTACCATAATGACGACACATCCAGTAACAGTAAATAGCAACATCACTTCAATTAGGGGTCATAGTTGGTATTTTAATTGAAAGACTTAGCCCAAGATCAGTTTCTTTTTTTTAAGTCCTAAGGTGAATTTAGAATTTTATGTTTAAGATTTATTCATTCATTAGTTCAATCGTCACAAAGTTTAGTTAAAACAAATCCAATTTTAATGCACAGGGCATATTAATAAATACGGGAATGCAGGACAAAGCTACCTAATTCGACCCTGACTCACTACCTCCCTCACCCCATGCGTGACTCTCTGTTATATTAACTGACAACGAACAAGCAAAAGGAGACTAGAACTATCCAGTGGACTTCCTGCTTCCCGACACTACTGCAGCCAGCATGTGCCAGGATGTGCTGGAAAAGACACAGGCCCTCAGATACTGAAATCTAGAATCACAATTTTTAATTCACATCAGAGAAGCAGATATGTGCACTGACAGACACAGAGAATCCAAAATCAGCACCCCTCACGAGGCAGTCAGGCATATCAAACTAACGTAAGAATGAGCTACAATGATTCCAAAATGTGCTTTCCACTGTTCTCAGCATCATCACATCCAGGATAAAATCTCATTCCAATTTAATCTCCTGGACACTAATCATTTCATGCAAGGCCAGAAGTCAAAATGATCAGAATGAAGACCTAGTGTCAAAACAATGATTAGCACACTGCTAGTAATTTATGTGTGTATACATATGTAGTATACATATGTTCATACATTTATGTACATTATCACATATGTACACACACATGTTCTCCTTTTTGCTCCACTCATCTTTATCTACAGCTCAACGATCCCCAGATATTTACTGCTTTATTTTTCTATTAGATGTTAATTCCAACTCACGTTTCAGAATTTCATAAGGTTAGCAAGACACCTTATTTGTTGTTGGTAGTTTTTGACAGACGTTTTACAAATAGTCTTGGACTCAGGCAAAAAAGAAACAGTTTCAAGCTTACATACTTACTAAAATTATTTTTCCAAGAGGCAAGAGTAGGTACATGTCCAGTTTAGTCAATCTATAAAAACTACATTTAACAACACATTCATATTGTTCAAGTTATAGCAAGCATGACAAGTTTTATGTAGTAGGATACTACCAGTATCCCACTCATTAGGAAAACCTAATGAATGAATTACCTCTCCCTGGATCTCTGAAAACTGAGGAATGCAGCAAGTCCCCAAAAGAAAAGAAAAACAAACATGAGTCTACTGAGATTTCCAAAACAGCAGTTTCTTCAGTCATCACTCTTTCAGGATTTTACACAAATTGTTCAGGATAAAACAGCTGGAAACTTCCCCAAAACACTAATCACGAATGAACAAAAGCTTCTAGCAAATCAGTCTAAATGGTCAGGATAAGAGCCTTAAACATTAACAGGTAAATATGGTGTAAAAACCAACGAACAGAAAAGTTATCCAGTGAGAAGTCCATACAGACCTACATTCCAACTGCTCCCTCCCTCACACTTGAACCTGACCAGTGGCACCTGCTTCCTATGCAACCTTACTGCTTAGCCTGCAGAGGTAAGCAAACAGATACACAGTCACTTTCCTCATCCCCTTCTCTTCTCATACAAATAGCAGCAGACTGCTCTGCACCTTGACTTAATCTCTAAATACACATGAGCATCAGTCAAATATTAGACTTGCAAGGGTACATATTTACAACTACACAGTATCCCACTTACTTATGAGCAGGTATGTTGTGCACATGCATGTAATGTGTTAACAAGATCACAATGACAGGCAGTTAGTTTGCCTTCAATCTTGTGCCACCATGAACAATTCTGCAGTGAACTCCTGGCACACACCGAGAGGGGAAGTTACTTGAAAAAAATTCATGGTGAAGTGGCACTGTTTTGATA